AAACAAGCCCGTTGTCAGAGCGAAACACCCCGCTCAGCCCGGAAAACGACATGATGGTGCGGCCTTGGTTCTCCAGCGCACAATCGCACTCTCCCGCACAAGCCGAACATCGCGAGGTTCCCCAGGAGCGACCGCAGCCTGTCCAACAGTTACTACCCCCGCCTCCCGGTCGTTTCTCCCTGGCTAGAGTCTTCCCGGGCGCTGCATCACTCATCGACTCCCAGATCCCTGCAGTGGCGTTGCAACTGGCGGCATTCCTGCTCAAGGTAGTCTCCACCTTCCAGCCTTGCAGTCCTCTGGCAGTCAATCCCTGGGTTGCTTATCCTCTACTTCTGCTGGCTGCGGTCAACTTCCCGGCCGCTGGGCTATGGACCCAGATTGTTTCTCTTCTCCTCCACCTTTTGATTGTCAGTTTGTCAATGCGGATGGAAGCACTGTGCTGGCGGGCATCACATAGTGCGATATTATTTTCTCGATAGCTACGCCACATCGCGGCGTACCGGCGTTGTGTGTGGTCAAAAGTGAGCAAGAAGTCTGTACTTCCCAACGTATCGGGCCTGACGATATATGTATAATGAATGAATGATGAACCACCGCTTTCTTTGGGTTCTTACCCGGCTTGTCGTTATCCTGTAATCTACTCATCTAATAGTATCCACACAAGAGTAGAATTTGTGAGGAAGTTGGCCAAGACTGCGAAGGATCGGACTAAATGGCTTACCTGCATTAAGCTCGCATCAGCCCGGGGGGCAATCACCTCATCGACTCCTCGTTCCTGATTGGCACAATTCCGGCTTTACAGGATGCTCCATCATTTGCTATTCTGATAGCTTCTGCCTGGTTGTTTCTTATCTCTCTCATATAGTACCCGGCCTCCCCGCTGCAATTTCGCTCATGCTTCTAGCTTCATTTTCTTCAGTCCCTCTGCCCCCTGCCCGGTATGGCAATAAGCCCAGAGGCCATTGAGCTCTCGGAAGCTACACACCCTGGGGAGGATTTCCAGAAGTCCCAGCAGGTTCCGGGAGCTTCAGTCGGCGACACTACCGTCCGGCAGATTCATGAAGCTAAGCCTGAGGCCGAGTCCGAGCTTGATGAGGCCATCTATCCCCACGGGGTCCAATTCGTCCTCATTTCCCTGTCCCTTTGTTTCTGTGTCTTTCTGGTTGGACTGGTGAGTGCTACTATTCGCAAATCTCTGTTCGCTAGTTAATGTCATAATAGGATGCCACGATCCTAACCACCGCTATTCCGCGTATAACCGACGAGTTCGGGTCGGTGGCTGATGTTGGTTGGTATGATGCTGCTTTGTGAGTCTCTCCTACAGATCAGTAACCCTGTATATCCCTGCTAACGGCGTCCAAGTCGACTCACCTCCTGCATGTCGCAGCTTTCCCAGGGAAAGCTATATGACAACTACCCGGTCAAATGGGTCTTTCTCGTCAATCTCCTGCTGTTCGAGGGTGGCATTCTTCTCTCGGGCCTTGCGCCGAGTTCATTCATCTTTATCATTGGAAGGGCCATAACTGGCTTGGGTTTTTCCGGGATCAGTCAAGGCTGCATGGTGTAAGCACTACAGTACCTAGAGGCATGTCTGCAAGCTAACAAACATCCAGCATCATTGCAATTTCTACGCCTCTACGAAGACGACCGACGTTTGTCGGCCTAATCAGTGCCAGCGAATACACTGCCATCGCCATGGCCCCTATTCTTGGAGGCATACTCACATCCGACCTATCCTGGCGATGGTGTTTCTACATCAACCTGCCCGCCGCAGCCCTGCCATCCGCCGTGCTTCTCCTTCTCAAGCTCCCGACCATCACCCCCAGGGGCTCAAAAACACACATCCAGAAACTCCGCGAGCTGGACCTACTCGGATTCTTCCTCTTCGCACCCGCAGTACTGTGCCTGCTTCTCGCGCTCCAATGGGGCGGCGATACCTACAGCTGGACCAACGGACGAATCATCGCCCTTCTCGTCCTCTCGCCCATCATCTTCACGGGCTTCTGTCTCCTCCAACACCGCAAACAAGACACCGCCATGCTCCCACCGCGCGTCCTCCGTAAACGCATTATTATAACCGGCGCGGCCTTCAGCCTATGTCTCTCAGCCTGCCGCGCCATCGTCCAATACTACGTACACTCCCCACCTCCATCCTTCCCCTCACTCCTTAAATACAAACTAACCAACCCCAGCTCTCAATCTGGTTCCAAACCGTCCGCAACGCCACCCCCCTCCAAAGTGGCCTCAACACCCTCCCCCTAGTCATCTCCGTCCTCATCAGCGCCATCACCGGCGGTTGGCTCATCTCCCGCACACGCACCTACACCCCGATCCTCCTCCCCGCCTCCCTCCTCGTCATCGCCGGCATCGCCCTCATGACAACCTTCACACCCACCACCCCCGCCAAGCTCTGGATCCCATCGCTCATCCTCCTAGGCCTCGGCTCCGGCAGCGCCGTTGGCGTGCCCTTCATCGCCGTACAGGCCATCCTCCCCATGAAGGACATATCTATAGGCATGGCGCTGATGACCTTTTCGCAGGACATCGGAGAAGCGGTGTTCATCAGTGTTGCGCAGGCGATATTCTTGAACCGTCTGACGGGGGATTTAGCGGAGAGTGTGCCCGGACTCGATCCGGTGATGGTGACGCATTTGGGTGCGACGAGCTTGGAGGGTAAGTTGCCTGGGAAGTACTTGGAGGCTGTAGTGGGGGCATATGATGTTGCGGTTAGAGGGACGTTCTTGTTGGCGGTTGCGTTGGCGGGGAGTGTGTTCGTGGCTGCGATTTTGGTGAAGAAGAATCCGTTTAAGGTTGGTGATGAGTTGGGGGAGGGAGATAGAGAGGAGGGTGGTAGTAGTAGAGGTGTGTAGGACGATGGCTTCGGTGTATGTCGATACAGTGTATAGTAGTGCAATATTGGGAAATCGCTCTGACAAAGGAGGTTTGTGCATCACCCAGTCATGGTTGTAGGTCTGTGTAAGCAAGTCGCAAGATTGTCTCAAGGATCTGTGGCATGAATCACTCACTGCATTTGACATTTCTATATGATAGATAGAGACCCCTTTTCTCAAACATAATATGTGACAAAAAATGCACCACTACAAGCTAGAGCAGAGCCATAAAACCAGTCAGATTACTTCCAAAACAGCCTGGCCATACATATAATATAAAAATAACAATAGCAATCAAAAAATGAACCAAATCCTTTCTTTCACCAATCTATCTACCATGACAGCCTAAAAAGAAAAAAGAGACAAGTAAAAAACTGCGCCAAGCGAGATTCGAACTCGCGTCGCAACCTGATCCAATGTCAGATTGGGAAGGTTGCATCCTAACCACTAGACGATTGGCGCCGGTTGTTAGGATACCCACTCAATTTTAGTCCTATATGGTGAGTGCTGGTTGGTCGTTTTCGCTCTTTTGACAGCTCGCGAACCATGTTTTGTGAACTTTTAGGGTGGAAAGTGGATCTCTGGGTGATGGGGCTATTGGTAGGGGGGTTTCGAAATGAATTTTTTTCTCTGCTGGAGTGGGGGGTTTGGTTTGTGTGGAATCACTGGAATGAGTGTGTGGGATTTGAGGGTGTTGGCTGGCTGACTGGATTGTCGGTGCTGTTGGTTGGATGGGGTTGCCTTGTTGGGTATGGTGGCGAATATCGTACCTTTTTTACTTTGTGGCTCCATAGGCATTCTTTCTTTGTGTGTTCAGGGTACCATATTTTGATATCATATTTTATAAGTTAATGGGTGTATTCTTAGTCAGACCATTAGTCTAAATAGTGAAACTCGTACTTCATGGTATCATTTCTCTGGAGTAGTACTGGTCTGTCCATGTTGCGCTAACTCCCCCGAAGGATTCAAAGTCTGACAAGAGGCCATAAAATAAGAGTACTGCATCATTACTCGTACTATAGCCTGCACTCCATCAGTGATGTTAAGTTCGTTAGGGAGAAGACTTATTTCTCTTGCATGTCAATAGTTGTCTGTAAATTGCGATTCTGCCCTACACTATGTGTTCAGTTCAGGTTCAGTATTTCGTTGAGTGATTCGTGAACAGCACTAGTAGTACTAGATGTATTTTGATAGTATGGCTCATGTCCGTATAGCAGTAAATTTATGTATACTAAGTCCATCATCATTCGTCAATTTGGTAGTAATCATGAGATGGACACGAGGAGGAAAATATGAAGAAATAGAGTTGGATAGGCTTGCTTCCATTCTGCTAACGCACTTGGGTGCAATAATAATTCGATGATAACTATTATTGTTTAGGAGAGTCTGGGTCAAGAAAGCATAAATACTACACAGAGTATGGACGTGCATTTTGATGTATGGATTCGAAAGAGAAACTGAACGAAGAAATCTTGTCATTCTACTCTGAGTCTCCGCAATATGCCTCTTATTCAATGTGGAGGTCAATGGGTTCTATATCCCTGAACATGTGAGCCTTAGGGTCATGATAGACCAAGTACTGACTGGCTCGTTAACTTATTGTTTCCGATAATCAAAAGAAGTGGCTGAAACAGTGGATAGAGTCAAATAACGTGTGCACAGCTGATAGGGCATGGTTCTAGGTGCTACCCATCATAAAATGACGAAGTCTGGACTGCAAGTGATATAGAGGGTAGGATAGCCTCATACATATCTGAGTTCCCCCAATGTCTTTATTGTAGAATATCAGTGCTACACTTATAGATCTGCAGTCTCTCGAGTCCCTGGATCAAGCTTAGCATTGACTTTGGACCCTGACGGAAGCAAACTTGTGATGTCATTGTATTGATTAGCTGAATTGGGACTTCAAAAGTATCCTGAAGAAGTTCAAAGACTCAAACTATTGTCAAGACACATCAGATACTTTGAAACATGCACCTCGACAATAGGAAGATAAGAAATGGAAGGGGATGAGTTGTGCTCGTAAACTGAAACGGCGAGGAACGAATGACGCCAATGCCCCGCCGCCCCGCCGGTTCAGTTGACTCCGGCCTCCCCGCATCCATCCTCCGTCTTTGCTGCTCTTTCCCCTTCTCTCTTTCACCTTGAATACCTTCATCTTAACTTCCAACCACCATCATGGATCGCTCTAACAAGCCTGCCGCCATCGGCGTCGGTGCCTCTCTTCCTCAACCCACCATCTCCCTCCGCGACAACACCGTTGAAGCTACCCTCCCCACCGGCGAGTCCGTCACTGTTTATCTCTATGGAGCCACCGTCACCTCCTGGAAGCTCGCCAATGGCAAGGAACAGCTCTTCGTGAGCGAGAAGGCTAACCTAGATGGCTCCAAGCCTATCCGGGGTGGCATTCCCGTCGTATTCCCGGTATGTCCTCTTCAGCTGATCACCACTGAACAGCCAGCTTGCTCTCTATATCTCACCTCCCTTCAAGTATCCATTGAAAGGCAAACCAACTAACTCCTATTTCCATCGAATCAGGTCTTCGGTCCTCCCCCCTCCAACCACGCTACCTCTGCCCTTCCCCAACACGGCTTCGCTCGGAACTCGAACTGGGAATTCCTTGGCAAATCCTCCTCCGAAGCATTCGGCCGCGACCGGAAGGAAGGCGAAGACGCCGTGAAGTTGGACTTTGGACTGTCACATCCTATGCTGAGCGAAGAGTTCCAGAAGGCCTGGCCGTTTAAGTTTGGACTGGTGTATAGCGTGACTTTGACAAAGGGGAGCTTGGAGACTTCTCTGCAGGTGCAGAACCAGGGCGAGCAAAACTTCGATTTCCAGGTGTTGATGCACACGTATTTGAGCGTTGAGGTATGTCACGACCCAATTGCAGCGCTGGATCCAGGCTAACGAGACACGTAGGACATTACGAACGTCCGGGTCAAGAACCTCCAGCAAAAAGAATACTTGGACAAGACACAGGGTGGTGCAGCTATCACGGAGACCTCGGAGGCAGTAGAGATTAACAAGGAAACGGACCGGGTGTACAAGGCATTGGATCCGAAGGTGCCGATTATCGTGTCCACGGCGTCGGATGATCAGCCTCTGTTCTCTATCACACGAGAGGCGTTGACGGATGTGGTCGTGTGGAACCCCTGGATTGAGAAGGCCAAGGGCATGGCGGATTTCGGTCCTGAAGAGGCATACAAGAACATGCTTTGTGTCGAGGCCGGTTCCGTTGCTGGCTGGCAGACCCTAGAGGCGGGTGAATCTTGGGAAGGTGGACAGACTATCCGGCCCCGGTTGTAACTGGGATAACAGGAATAGTTTAACTTTACGTGAATAATCATGCAGTGACGATGGATGCCAAAGTTGAGATTGAAATAGAATTTTACCCTAGTATTGTATATTGCGTACTCCGCGTACGTTTAGTATTGTATGATATCCTCTCCACCAAGACCTATCCTTCCCCCCATCATCTCCAGACAAAGCCACTCACCACCCCAATTGCCCAAAGCAACATATGAACTAAACCGACCCCCTAACAACCGCCGCCTCGGGCACCGAAACCGAAACCACCCTCGTACTCGCCCTCTGCGATTGCCTCCTCCAAGGCCAACTCCTCCTATCCCCTCCACTCCCATTTACCCCCTTCTTCACCCCACACAAAGCCCTCTTACACAGTGGACAAAACGCATTCTTCTTCGTAACCCACGGATCCAAACACACTGTATGGAAGATATGTCGACACGGCAGGGATCGGATCTCGTCGTCGTCAGCGAACTGGTCTATGCATATTGCGCACGTGCGGTGGTTGTCTCCACTTGTATCTGCATCTTCTGTGTCTTTGTCTCTTTCTTTGCTATCGTTGATGTTGGTGTTGGTGTTGGTGTTCTCTGGTGATTCACCGGAAGCATTATCCCCGGGCGTGGATCTCACTTGCGCTATCGCACCTGATGATAGATCCTGCTGCTGCTGCTGCTGCCGCTGCTGCCGCTGCTGCTCATTCTGCTCATTCTGCTTCCCAGCAAACCAGTCCTTGTACTTCACCTGCGGATAAAGTACCTCGATAAGCTGCTGCGAGATCACGATCCGGGGATTACGTTGTCCCCCCGCCGCCGCCGCCATTTCGGCATCCGAGTAGGGGTATGTAGGGCCGTAGAGGCGACGACGGCGACGGCGACGGCGGGTGCCGAGGATGAGCCTGTATTTCATCTCGATTTAATGACATGTTCTTTGCTGCATGGAGGGGGTTTGTGGTATATCCCCTAAATAAAGTATGGAAAAACATACATACCATGTTATAAAGAGCAGAAACGTAACAAGCACTGGAGCTAGATAACCTACTAATGCTAGAGAGGATACTTGGACCATGATGTGGTGCTGTTGCGAAAGTCTTCTTTGTTAGTATTCCAGCTATCATATTAACAGGGTAGGTAGGTAGGGGTATACTCACACAACAAACTACCTATCTATCTACCCGGATAGGTAGGTAGTATGATCCCGATAAAGTGAGGGCTGAGTGAGTGAGTAAAGTACACTATAGCGCAGTCATAGACCCCGCGATAAAACAAAAATCAAAGTGTTGTGTTGAAAGGTTAGTGAATACACCACCGCTTGCTATCGGGTCTCTTTTCCTCGTTTCTTCGGGACCATGACGCCAGTCTGACTGACGACTTTGAGTCTTTGATTCAGGGTTGGGTCAGTAGTGTGGTCATGCTGAGGATAGAGACTCAGTTCTGATGGATAGATGAAGTAGGTAAGTTAGTATTTAGCTAGCTGATGTGCTCGGGTTTTAGGGGGCCCCTGTGAGGTTTGGGGCGCAACTGACGCCCCGGAGGATAAGCATGGTTGGTTGGTCGGTTGGTAAGTAGTAGTAAGCCTCCTGGATGAGTGTGTGGCAGTGAGGATGAGATGACAGACTGACTCCTCCTGTCAGCGGCCAAGGAATCCGCGGATTAATCATCTTGAACTACCTTAGAAACTAGTAGCGACTAGTGATTGGGATTAAAATATAGGTTTATGGTATGCTGGTATTACAATTGCATTCTCCAGTCTTCAAAGCGTGATGAGTACATTCAGCTTCCGCATCGTCCATCTTATAACAGAACATAGGACCGAAAGAATAATGGCAAATCAAGCACAGGATCATAAACAGATGAGACTTCTTTTGATGGCCATGGTCACAAAATAAAACAGTCAGACAGACAGACAAAAAAAAGCGCAAGGAGTATAAAATATTGATACTAGGATATAGACACAAGTACAACGCCATCGCTATGCAAAATCCATTCAAACGGTGTTTCTCCTCAATGCCTCATGCGTTTCCACCCGAATATCAAATAGTAAATCGTCAATTTCCTTCAGCGAGTTTCGATCCAACTTGGCCAGTTTCACATCGCTCAAGACTTTGCGGAGGGAGTCTGTAATTCCTGCCTCCGTGATCTCTGGCTCCTTCTGGCCTTCGGTCTGCGTTGTGCGGGATACTGCTCGCGTCTTCTTTTCCGTCGTCTCCAGTTCCTTCTCTTCAGATGGCGCCTTCTTCTCAGGGATGGGTTTGGTCACTGTGGGCGCGTCTTCCATTTGCACGTCATCAGGTGCTGTTTGCTGGGTCTCGGGCACCGGCTCATCCATCGGTTCGTCGACCTGAGCTTCTGTTGGAGGCTGCACTGAGCTATCCGGTTCTGGGAGTTGCTCAGCTGGTTTATCTTCAGCAGTGATCTTGGGTTCCTTTTCATCCTTGACAGGTTGATCCACCGCATCTATAGTAGGAGTCTCGTCGTGGTGGGTCTCGACAACTTCTCTAAGTTGAGGCTCTTCTGGTATGCTGTCTTTGGTCTTGTCCTTGGTCGCCTTGCGAGAACGACTAGGTCGTGGTGACCTCTTCGGAAGCGGGCTCTCCTCGGGAATGGCTGGCGCCGCCTGTCCGCTGAGACGAGAGGATCTGCGTTTTTGAGAGCTGTCTTGAGTGTCCAGAACCTTGGTCTTCCCGCTATCTGTACTGGCTGATTGCTCGGCGGGCTTGCTCGTGCCAGTCATATCACTTTTAGACTCCGTCTTCCGTCGCTTCGGCGCCGATTCAGCAGGGGATGATTCGACCTCCTGTGACACCGTCATCGGTCTCTTAGACCGAGTAGCACGGCCTCCCTCGATATCTACGACAGAAGACGTCTTTGTGAGTCTTGAAGAGCGACGCCGCTCTTTGTCCGAAGGTGTAGATTGCTCTGCCTCGCGCTTTCGTTTCTTATTCGCACCCTGCTCCGAAGCTGTTGCATGTTCTATACTCGCCGTGTCGTCCAGATCTACAGCGAGTTCTAGATCCTGCTCCAACTGAGACGCAACCTGGGTCTCCATGTCGTCGCTGCATGAGTCCGCTATGTAGTCGTAGCCGTCTGTTTGTTGTTTTTCTTTGTCTTTCGGTTGCTCGGCATTAACCTGGTGCTCTGGCTCGATGACAGGCTCCTCAGTTGCACCAGAATCCGTAACGGGGTCTTGGGAGAGCCCAGAGTCACGAGAGCCATTCTTTGACGAATCCTTCGATTGCATGTCTTCAATGGAGAGACTTTTGTCTTCTGGCAATTTGCCTGTCGATGAACGGAGACGCTTCGTCAGTGGCTCCTCTGAATCAACTGCCATGCTTTCATCAGTCGCTTCCGGTTGACTGGACTGAGCGTTCATTGCCTTCTTCTGCCTTGACGAACGCCGGGCCCTCCTCTTCGATCTTCTGCTCCTGCTCGACGCAGTGTTCCCTGATCCTGGTGTGTTCATGTTTCCTGTGTTACTTCGAGGTTCAGGACTGGTCGATTTCAGCTTTGGAGGGGAGGATTGAAGTTCGTTTTCTAAGACAGACTCTTCTGCCGCTGGAGTCGACAGCGATTGGGGTATCTCTGGTTCACTCAATTGCGTTAGGCTTCGAGTACCCGGCGTAGGGGAAGAACCGAGAAACCCGTATTCGTTGTCAGTGGCGACAGGTGGTAGGGTAGGGGTTTGTGGAGTCCCGGCGTCGGCATCCGCGTTGCGCAGGTCGCGCAAGTGCGGGGGCGTCATGAAACCGAGTTCTCTTGGAGTATTCGTCGGAGGTGAAGACGAACGAAGGCTCTCAATGATCGAAAACAACTCGCTACGCTTCCTAGGGTCTCCCGATCCCGTTGGGAGGGGCATCGAATGACCCGTGGCCACATCCGGGTCAGAGTCATCATCAGTTTGGGATAGTGGGCCTGCTGAATGTCCGGTTTGCTTCTCCGAAGACGTAGGCATGGCTTTGCGCTCAGACCCTCCAGTTATGGGCGACGAGTTCAGCCCCAATGTGAATGGATCATCAAGAATGAAAGCAATGCGAGACTTGACCGATGTATCGACTGGAAAGGCCTTTGCGTCTTGACGATCGGATTGTGCCTCGGACTAGAATTCCTTAGCAGGGCAGACTAGAACATTAATCAGAATACGTACCTGTAAATTTTGCCGATGACCATGCGGCTGCTGAAGCTTCATCTGGACTTCAATATCATGTAGCGCGCGAGATATCGTCTCGGGGCAGGGCAATGACTCTTGTGATCCAAACGAACAACGCCAGAAGTCAAGAAATCGTTTTGTTACAGAGGCATGTGTGGACTCAAGACCCGCACAGATTATAGGCTCGAACTTTTGTACACAGAAGGCGTCGTGAGGTTGTGCTGCTTGCAAGATGTTCAAGACGGCTGACGACAGCGCGCGACACTAATTCTAAGTTAGTACGTAACACAAGCCCCTTGCTTCGTACACTTACAGCAGTAAGGATTCTGCTTTCCACGCCACTCTCAGCGTTTATCTTGCGCTCCTTGTCTTTGAGATAAAGTGCAAGGGACTGCTGGAGGTGTGTGAGCACTGCTGTACGGAAAGTAGGTACACCCGATCCCAGAAGAGACGTCAGGCACTCGATGAAATCTGCAATGCCGTTCGGTTCGACAGGATCAAAGCTTTCGTACGACTGACGAAGAGTCTTATCCACTAGTTCGATCAGCTTGTGAGGGAAGGCCATTTCATGAGTTCCTTTTGCCGTCTCCGCCTCGTGGCCGTAAGGAATTGAGAGCGAGAGTTTCAAGAGTGATGCGGAGGGCTTGCAGGTATTCCGTGTCCCTTGTTCTATGATAGATGCGGCAAGAGGTTCCATGGCCATGGTGGAAATAGCCCGATCACCCTTTTCGGTTCTTACGACGCGGATAAGAGAATCAACAAGCGGATTCCAGACTTCGAATACGTCGGAGAACTTTAACCCGGCAGAAAGGATGTTAACAATGTTCTCATAGTCACGGCAAACTGAGCCGTCACGTTCGCGAGCTGTCTCCATAGGGAAGGAGGATAAAGAGCTTGCAGACAGCTGTGCCACAGACCTCCACACGGTTTCAGCTAGACTATCATCGCCAATATGAGCAGCCGCATCAAACACATGTATATCTGCGCATTGGCTAAAGAATTCCAGACGTGAGCTCCTTGATAGCTTGTCACTGCATGTCGCTTCTAGAACACTGGTAACGAGGCGCGAATATGGCGGGGAAGGCCCCGAATGACCAGGTAGTTCACTGATAAATCGAAGAAAATGCAGGATGGGACTGTCTAGACTTGTATTCGCCTTTTGATGACGATGCGTAGGCGTAGTAGCAGCCTGAAAAGTCTCATCGGCTGTCTTCAGGAGTAATTTCTCGATAAACCGTGCGCTACCAAGACTGTAGATCATAGTGGTGGAAAGAAAGCTGAACCGGTCATAGAAAGCATCCGTTGAGTCCTTCTCGATAGCCGCATTGAGCGATGAGGGCCCGGCGTTCCAGAGGCGCTGAAGAAGGCCAAGCACGTGTGCTACAGCTTGCATCGATTCTGGCGTGGGCGTAATCTCTTTGCTCGACGCATGTGACAAGGCCTTGGACAAGCCGATCCAGGCTGTAGCAATATTCGACCGCTCAATATCGGGATTCCAGACAGAAGACTTGAAGATCTCCTCAAAAACGCTCAAAACCGATGTTATCCTCGACCGAATCCACCTACTGTCAATGGATGGCAACTCTTCAGGGTCCAGCTTGTTGCTCTCATTGACCTTATTCTCCAACCAAACCTTCGCCTGAGGGCTCCAGAGCATATTGGATAGCACGTGGGCTACCCTGTCGCTGAGACTGGGTACAGACGAAAAAATGCTCGAAGCCGGTGAAGCGACATATTCTTCCCAGACGACATCAAGATGCTGAAAAGATGCCGAGGGACGGAAGGCGTAGTAAAGAAGATTATAGTAGCTGCACAAGGCTAGCTGACTGGGTTGTTTGTCTTGCTTCTTCCGATCGAACTGAGAGATGATGGGCTTGCTCAGCATCCGCAATAACGAAGGGCTTGTTGTGTCGCTAGGACTGACGACATAAACAAACCGATTCCAGCCAACGATGGCCTGGGCTTTGATTGCAGAATCACTGCAATTGAAGCATCTCTGCAGCACAAGGACCCATTCTTTGAAATGCTCCCACTGATCGACGTTGAACTTTTTGCTGCGCAGGAGTAGAATAATCACACTCCATATCTGAGGTATGTGGACTCCGCAATCAGAAAGTGCCATCATGCGCGTCATTCGCTCGCACACT